AAGCCAGTAGAAAGATGTGTCAGCACAGCCTAAAAAAAGAACCCTAGACAATCACTTACCTGATTCTTTCTTGGTCTTTGGCAAAGGATCTAGAAGAAAGATAATCGAAGTCAGCTCACGACCAAAATGAAACATTGAAAGATTACTTACCCGGTTCTTTTTCCGGAGACTCTTGGCGGAAGTCAAACACCACGGATGATTCCCGAGAGCCTATACCAGATGTGGTATTGCTTGTGTTGACATTGAGACCCAAGAGATTGCCAAAATCGAGCGGTTCCAGTAAGTGTTCTCGCTCTTGCCTGGCGGCATCCACATTTTCCGTGTGGTTGGGTTGCACGCTACAAGAATCGGTTCTGAAACGGAAACACAGCTTCATCATGAGTCACTATTAGGGCGGTTCAAGAAGGAAATTGCAAACACCCTGCACGCAGAGTGCCGATCCCGTATTTTAAGGCTCCCCAGTCCTTAAAATTTGTTTTTTTTTTGGAAAAACAATGAGGACAATCTAGGAACGAACGAAAAAAATACAAACAATGGAAGTGATTTTTTTTGCTCAAGATGTGCCTGTTGGTTTGAAATACTTTATAAATTTCAAGACACTTTATGAGATTGCAAAACCGTGAACCACCTCTAAAGGTGGTTCACAAACTTAAAATTTCACTTAAAATTTAAGGGTCCCGAACCAAATGTAAAAGTTAAAAAAAGGCTGTAAAAGCCCTTCTTGAACCGCCCTATTGCAGTTCTAACACTCATTAAAGGGACTGACACGTGGTTGTTATGGTTATTAGACAAAGTTTGGGAACCAGGAGATTGACTGGCAGACATAGATGTACAAGCAGGAGTTGGAGCCATTTTTAGAATGGGATTAAGGTATGGAAGAAATTTGGAATGATTTGACGCTTTTAGAAAGTGATCAAAATGAAAAACAGAACAATTTGACGCTGAAAACAGGAATAATATGAAATGATTGACGGTGTTGGGAGAAAGACTGAATGAGGTTTCTGAAGAAAGGATTGAAACATGATTGTTGCTGGGGTCAAATAGGGGAAGGCCATACCAAGCCTTGGCTATCACGGTTCTTCTCATCTGGAATTGGAAATGTTGTAAGATGGGATAGTGGTGAATATCATGAAGGTTGTTGAGGATTTGCAGGTTAGTACAAGTTGCAGTCCGCAAATATTCAAACAAGACGGGTTAGTTGACAGCCCGGCCAGTTGAATTTTGGCTGGTGCTGCGCCCCGCACGGGCCAGCTTAGATTTTTTTTGATTCCTCTGATTTCAAGCCTTTTGAAATTCAGTGTACCTTCTGTACTGGCTTGTAGCCTCTTTGATAATCCTCAAGGACAAATTTCAAAGCAAAACTGATCAGATCAACAGGAATCTGAGAGCTGGAAAGGAAGTATCATCATCCCCAATGGAATGTTTCGAAAATGGCGGGAATCTAATCACTGAACAACTTCTGATTGATATCATCTTGAAGCTGGGTGAGGACAAGCCCTCAAATCTTGAAAAATTGAATTTCAAGCATTCAATACTTACATACACTGTGAAAATAATGTATTTTTCCCATGTGAAAAATGAGCCCCCCTAGGAATTGATATGGCATGCTTGATATTGGCCAAAAAATCTGAAACAATCAGGTACATAAGTCAGAATGTGCTATGTTCCTCCTGGCAGAAAATTTCAGTTGATGTAAAAAAATCCAAGCACTCAGTTTTTTTCATTTTCTAGCTTTTCTAGGCCTTTAATGCAAAGGATCACCTCCTGACAAAAATGATACAACATCTCATCATTGTCAGCCCTGAATACGCAACCAGAGTACCAATGGGCAACATATGATAATAAGAAATTGTATAGTGGGTAGTGTCTAAAAGCATGTAATGTCCGGCCGGCCAAAAAGCTGTTTTATCAAACACTTCATTGTGTGAAGAGAACTTTCTATAATGTAAAGATTGTTACAAACAATATGTTCAATACAACTTTGGATTGCTATTGATGTGAGGATTCCAAATCTGCCCTTGGCACCAAAATTGGATCAATTTTGTGGGTTTTGTAAACCTTTTTCTCAAAATACCTTAAAAATAGCAATTACAACTCAAGGCTCAGTTTCAAGAGTCAAGTTACATATGATTCAGCATATGTAACATGTGCAAAACTTACATCAAAGAGTGTGTACATACACAAAGTTGATGTGAACCAAAGCTACACATATTTCACAGCCATAACACATACATAACAGGTGAAATATACTTATAACCCAATGGTGACTGTGTTACTGTAATTAACCTAGCCTTAGAGCCATGTTTTGAGTGCACTTGTAGTCCAAAGATTTCCAAGGTTCAGACTATATAAACCCTGAAGATCCAACCATTTTTAGAAGAATCACATCATCACATTTTTATTCCACAACTACACAACTTTGCTTTTCTTCATCTTCCTAGAACCTTTAGACTTTGCTTATCAATTACCAAACTTCAAAGGCCTGATTCTACAAACCTTGAAACTAAAACCTTGTGTCTTGTTGCTTATTCTATGTGCTCATTCAACTTTGTTTCTGATTAGACTCCATAATCAGTATCCCTGGTAATATCCATTTGGTGGAATTACTTGTAAGGAAGTAGTCCTGGAGTATTGCTCCTATCAGATTTGGGATTCATCAGAGATAAGAAACTCTAAATCTATGGCAAAATCTCTATTAGTCAGAGTGTAAAGTTCCGGGTGTTATAATAGACTTTAACACCACCTGTAATGCTTCTCCTGACAGCATTACAAACTAGATCACCTTACAAGTATATGAATTATTCTTATACTGAATCTCATTTCTTTACTTATTCAAACTATTGACATGCACACTCCTGGCTCCTTAGGTAATCTAAACTGATGTTTTGATTATCATCCTTTTGGAGCTAGGAATTATAAATATTCACTGGTTCTAGAAAAACTTCCCTCAGCTCAATTCATTTGAGCTTCCCGTCCTGTTATTCAGAAGATAACTTTCCCCGCAGTGAGGGCTATAAGCAATCCTTTACACCACCTCCTTTGACCTCTCTTTGAATAAGAAGAGGATAAAATTAGGATTGATAACTGCACATCAGTTGCTCTTATTTTTGATTATTGTAAAGACAATAATTAACCCAAAATCCCTGGGGTAAAGCATTTGTTTAAGGGTCAACTAACTGGAGTCTTTACTTGTTTATTGCAAGTAAAGTTCTTACACCCAATTCTCTACCCAATCATACTTGTAGATATTGATCTACACCACTTTGGTAGAAGTTATCAGACCTTCTACAACCTTTTTATTGACTCTACTAGCCTAACAGACGCTAGTAGGATCACAATCATCATCATCACAAGGTCTGTAATAACAAGTTGTGTATAAGCTTATGATGAGACTGATTGTACATACATCACTCATTAATCTTCAGGCACACCAACCTATCAACATCCTGAGAAAGCCTACCATTTTGACAAAGAGCATCCTTGAAAACCTAATGTTTGCTCATTTGGATTGAACTGTGGTTTGTATGGTGGTAAGTAGACTATGATAACTCCTGTTTCCTCACACATTTTCTTAATCACCCTATAGTGACAACACTAAGACTGATTTTTGGTTTGGGTATGGTTGCATGACAGGCAGCTTGAACAATATTGTCATTTTTGGCTTCTTGATAATGGGCAGACACAGGAAACAAGAGATGGTTCTCCTGTAAGAATACTGATTACAGCCGTTAAAGGATTAAACAGCAGAAGTCTTTGTCTGTGTGATGCACCAGAGAGCCCAAAACTAGATTAAACCTGGTTTTGGACACAATTTAACAATGTCTTGTGGGAGACCTGTCACTTTTGATTGGATTTAACAGGTTTTATACTTTTGTATTAAATATTGGTGTGACACAAATTTGTATTTTTATGCCTTTTATATGTTTAGTAGCTGCACATTCAATGCAGTTTCTGAACCAAAACACAGAAATAATGCTAAAATAATACATTTTTGGATACAATTGGTTTCCCCGCAGGCAAATTGCCTCTTGTTGCCTGTGAGATACAAAAGAACTAGAAAGCACTTCTTGCAGATCACTATAGTGAACCCTCTCCCTCAACCATTTCAAATCTTTTGATTGTTTGTCTTTTTGGACCAAACATGGATGTTTTACACATCTGAAATTGTAAACCAATCTCCTCTTATTAAAGCTGAAGGACCTAATAAATCAGTACATTTTTTTCCAGAAGAAAAGGCATTAACTTTCAAAGCTTTGTGAACAGTCAGGGCACATTCACTCTTAAGGAATTCCTGACCAGAAATCAAATTCTGTAAAGATTTTAATTCAAAAATGAAACATCCACCACCAAACAGACACTTTTAAATTTTTCAGAATGTGATTTCTCACCAGAGATTGCTTAAGTGAACACACCCTAACTAGCAAAAGGCGTTCTTTGAAGTTATTCACAATGGTTTTTCAATCCAAACATGGCTTGTTGAATTTTGTCAAAGAAAAGGGTTAGATAAGTATTGATGAGTTCAAGCATGAAATCTTCATCCTTATCAGACCAAAGCACTGAGCAGCCTCATTGTTCATAGGTTGCAGGATTGCATATAATGGCCTGAGGATGAATGTATAAAGTGTTTCATTTTGAACAGGATTTTTTTGATGTTGCAGTAAGGAGTTTGTTTTCAATTGATTTGATGGATTGTCCAGATTGAAATTTGGTCAGTGCAACAACTTTGAGCTGCACAATGTACATGACAAATCCTATCATAGAAGAGACTGAATGGGAAAGAATCAAATGGATGGATGGGTGAGTGAAGGATGCAGTGATGCAGCAAGGGTGAGTGACTATAGCAGTCTAATGCAGCAGGCAGTTTAACCTATAACCTGACCAATTTGAAGGCTGTGCATATATTTTTCCTGCATACTTGTAAGAATGAAAAGATAAATTCTTGATCAGCCAAGCTAATCTATCTTGACTGTAAAGCTGGTGACATAAATATCCTTAGAATTGAATTTGAAAAGTATAAATTCCAAAAAAAAAGAAGTCAAAGTTAACAAAATCAAAACCATCAATTTCCAAACCTCAAATGAATAATTAAGTTATAGGCCTAAATAACTTCTTATACCAGCTTCTCTTTCTTTAATAATAGTTCTCTTCAAACAACAAAATCAACAATCAATCAAAAAAAAAAGTAGCAAATCAAGAAAAATGAGAGTCACGAAAAATTTAAAAAACAAAAGACGAGCCAATTGTAGAAAGAAGTGAAGAAAAAGAAAAAGTCTTGTGCCAAAAGTTGGAAAAAAAAGTATTTCATTAAATTAAGTAGAGAAAAGTCATATAAAGTAAGATGAATAACTTTTCTATCAAAAATCATAGAAAGAAAAGCTCAGAGGGGTAAACAGATGATGAAAAAAAAGTTAAACAGATTTATCATCACAAGATTGGACGAAAGAAAAAAAAAACATAAAAAAAACGTCCAGATCTTTGGGAGGGTAGGGGAAGTAAGAGATGGAGTGGTAAATGCAGAAAACTATGTCATCTTCATTACGCAGTAGATTTGTTATTATTATTCTTATTATTCTGAGTCACAACAACGGCTGCGATAATTGCACCGGCAATTATTACTAATGATCGAAAAGCAACAGAGTAGGTCAGTAAACGAATAAAGTGATTGGTCTGGAAAAAAAGATCACACTTACGTATTAGAACAATGAGCCCTGAGATCACAAGATTATCTAGTCAGTAAGCATCTTCAAGTTGGTACATCTGTGCGAAACACTCACAGAAACAAATAATACGCTTTTTCCGAGCGGCTGCTGCTGATTGCTTGGCCTTTGTAATGTGCTGACCGCTGTGAATATGAAATAAATAAAATACAACAATGATCCATATGAGTTTCAAATGTATATGACTCTTCGAGTAGAATGTGAGATTGAAACTGACGCCTGCTCAGTATCCCTATTCACATCGGCTGCGGTTGTCTCGACGTTCTCGATGACATGGTGTTGTTCTTCGACCATTGTCGCAAGCTGATGAGAGAAGTACGATAGTCAGGCAAAGCTATGAGATATAAGAAGGTATTCCAACGAACATCGTTGAACATCTGCATAAGCTCTGTCAGAGTTTGCTCGATCCTCTTCACATCCTCGTGGCGTTCTTTAACTTCATTGAACGCCGCTCGCGCGTCTCCGTATCGATTCGAGGTCATCAACTACAAAGACACCATCAGTATAGGCCGAAAACAGAAAAGAGGTCTGAGAAGGGAAGTTCGTGGTTGAAAGACTTACAGCTTGAGAGAAGACTTGTCCGCCATCATCACTATCGACAGCTTGTTTAATCTCCTCGGGTGTTGCATCAGGTTTTACAATTTTGTATTGCCTTTCCATTCGTTGCTTGTATTTCTGACGCGACTCTTGTTCGACTGATTGATACCTGATGGTTGAATGGATTCATAATGAGTTGGAATATCAAATCCTTCAATATCTCTTCTCCCGAGACATGAAACGAGTAGTCCGTAGGATTTGAAAATCAACAAACTTGGTAATGGTGTCCATCAAACGTTTCTTCAGTGCACCAACTTGAGTAAGTCGGACGTTGGTATCACCGCCAAGTGGTAAACCATCAGTAGAAGATTTGAGTGAATTGATTCGATTCTTGATATTGTTGGTTAATCTGGATGTCTCAGTAGTGAGTGTTGCGAGTTGATTGGTGATCGAATGATGCTGTTGTTCATCTAATTCTGAAAGTGCACGTGAATGAAGATCTCGAATTCGATCGATATTATCGTTGACTGATCTGATTCCATCGTTGAGAGAGGAGACCTTTGATTTCAAAGAGATTTGAGGATCAGAACCGAGCCGATAAGAATGGAGGAGAGAAAGCAAGTGATGAACAGACTTCATTCATAAAGGCGGGCATATCCAGAGTTTTGCCCTCTTGTAACTCATAGCTTTCCATGAAACCTGCCTCTTTGTCTGGTTGTACAAGACCATAGCCATTTGTAGTGTTGACAGAGGGTGGTGAAGGATCCGAGCCGTAGTTTACACCTTGATTTGCCTGAAATGATTCATGGAGGGAGTAAGTATGAATGATGGTAAGGTAAAGGGAAGGGGAAGTGAAATAAGCACTAAACACGCATAGCTGCAAGTCTGTCTCGTGCCATCTTGAAAGAGGTGAAGTTGAAGTTGAAGTTTGAATGTTATTGATGGTGATGATGATGATGATGATGATGATGATTGGGTATCGAGTGAGTTGATGGATGATATGCGAGTTGAAAGTTTGATTAGATTGGTGAGTGGTAGAAGGTTTTTAAAAGCTTTAAGGGTTTGAGAGGAAGGTAACGGTAAAGGAAAAGGGAAAGGGTGATTAAGGAAATTAATCGAAATTCATCAAGGGAATTCCTTGTATGTAAATCGATTCACCAAAGATTGAAATTCTTACAGTGGCGCGGTCAACTGTCAACGAGGATCAAGTTAAAGTCAAAATACTTTAGTAAAATACAGTTTCAAGTGCTCTCTTTGAGTGAATGGCTGTGAGTATATCACCCGATCGGTTTCACTCTTTTCATTTTCTCGGATTCAGGGAAGAGGTTATATAGCTCAACAAAGCCCTCTCGGCTGTGCCCGTATCATAACTTCACAATCAGTCGCAAGCCCCTCTAGAGAAGGCTTGCTTCAACAAAGGGAAGAGGTCACTTTGAATGAATTAAAATGAAAATGATATCATCAATCCCTTCTTCATTCACTTTTGATTTGTCTTTATCGTGCATTGATCGTATTCCACTGTGCGTATGGTTACCAGTGTGATTTCTGCTGTTGTCAAACCCACTTGAGAAGAAGGAAAGACCAGAACTTGAAGCACATTTGGTGGCATTTTCTCTTTCAGAGTTCAAAAGCCTAGAACAAAAGCCTCAGGTGATGTCTCCAATTTTGGCATTCGTAACAAGTTTCTGCTTTTATCTTGCAAAATTGGTATATCTAATCAAATACTACCTCAAACCCTTCAGAATAGAATGGGAAATCTTGTAGGCTCATGTGGTTGGGTTTGGAGTTGGATTAAATCTTATTCACTACACTTTCAATCACTTTGATTTCTAGAAAAGATTCCATGTTTGTTTGTTCTGGATTTTACATTCTTCTGATTTCTGGGACATGGAAACCTGTGCTTTCAAAGTATTGAGAATTGTGGAAATTAAAGGTGAGTTTTTGATGGTCAAATGAATTGAACTCACTGCTGTTTAAACATATTTTGGCTAATGTTTTCCATTTGCATTGGCTGTTGATCAATAATGTATGCTGAGATCAACTATGACATCATTTGATTTTCAAACACCACTCATCTTTCTGTTTACCATTTGTTGATTCAAGAATTTCTCACTCTTGATCGTAAGTATATCATGGAAGTTAACATGTGAATGGTAGAAATTGAATCGAGTAATCCTATCCTGGATCACAAGAACTACAATCAATCGAACAGCAAGGTCAAGAAACAACCAGGTATTGGAAAAAAAGTAAGTAAAATTCTGTAGCTTTCTAATTCTATGACTGTTCAAGACTGTTATATCACCTTGTTAATTTTGTTGGGGACCCTGAACCCTTCATGGACAAAGCTCAGTCGAGTCTCGGCCTTCGAATGCACTGGTTTTCTGCCGACATGAAGTCCCGCAGGTCCATGCTTTTTCATTGTCGACGAGCATTATCATGTGAACAGAGCTGGGATAGGCAGGTGTTTAGGTAGATTGAATGCGCTCCTTGATATAGTTGACTTTAAGCCGGTCAACTTGCTTTGCTTCATCGGTGTTATATATGTATCATGTACGTAAAGATAACAAAGAAACCTCGAAATTGGGAATCTGTTTACCAACTCTTAACTTAACGATCGAAAAAACAAAACACGACAAAATATCACAAGCTGATTCGTTTGGGATGGTCAACAATCGTCACGATTTACATAAATCAGTCGGGACCTATTGAAGAGCCGAGGGCCTTTGCTCACGGATAAGTTCTACCCTCTATTTCTTATTATCAAATCGTGACTATCTTTATCAACTTTCTGCGATTCGATTCGAAACCTACGTAATAGATACAAAAGCAGATACAAAAGCTATATTCTATGATTTGTTCAGCTGAAACCTGAAGATATATATGAGAACATAATCATACGGAGAGAGAGTCTTGACGACAATGGTACTTGAAGGGTTCATGAAGCCTTTGTAATAACAAGAGTATGTAGATTTCTTCACCATAAGCGTGACTAGCGCAATCAACCAATATCCTTTCATGCCGTGGACGCGTTGGATCAAACTGATGATCCAATCTCTGACCAAACAGGAGTAGAACGAACGCTCAGTTCTGAGAGGCCTATAAAATCCAATCAATCTCTGATCAAACAGTCCAAGTAGTCTCGCCAGATTGTCCTCTGAATCCCTAGTTTTACGCCCAAAAAATTGAATCCCAAAAGATCTTCTTCTGATTGATTTTCCGCTAAAACATCTCCATAGGATTCTATTTTAAGATGTCCGTAGACGTTCCTATGTCTCGACCTGGATTTGGAAGGTGTGTAGAGACACTATGTAGACCTTGAAGATTACACCTTACACATAAATACTTGAATAGTGATTCTTTTTCATCTCTTGCTTTTGAATTCAGTGTGGCTCTGGCAGCACATACAAGCGTGTTTTGTAACGTTTTCAGAGCCGAAATTTCGCCCGATTTTCCGACGCAATCGATCTTTCAGTATTCGGTACTTTTGGCTAATTTCTTGGAAGTGATCAATAAGTTGCTGATATTCTTTTGACCTCACGTTCTTGATTGAAAGGTACATATCACTGATTTCAAAGACTGGTCACCACCAGTGGTACTACGGAAGCAAGTATTCAAGAAGATCGCTGGAATCTTGAACGCAAAATCTCCACCTATCTACGCTGTCTTTGATGGTGATAAACTAGCCTTCAGTCACGCCGAAATACCCAAAAATTTACTTACTGGAGAAGTTCGCATTTCTGACATTAATCTATTAGGATTGGAAGAGAGAGCTTGGACGATCAATCTAATCTTTTTATTTTCTTTGTCATATACCTAGGTAAACGCTTCTAAGCCCAACGAGAGGGATAACGTATTCCGATACAATGTAAGTAAAGATTTTAACATTTTTGATAAAAGGTAATATTGAAAACTTACTACACAAAATCACAGTTAACACCGATCCAAGCCAATCCGATCAAAAAAGCGGAGCTTCGGCCTTTACTCGCTGGTGCTCAACATCCTGGTTTTTCAACCAAACCAACAGAGGAGAAACTTTTACTTTTAATCAAAGCTAAACAAATCTATCAAGCTCATAATATTGCAATCAAATATCCAATCAACTCGGACGAAAATCAAAGTTTTTCAACTTCGAGAGCTGTTTTCCCGTTTGGAGCTCCAGAACTCTATATCTCCGGCGGAGCTGTCTTGAAAAGTCAGTCAAAATAAAATAACAAGAAAGTCTTATGAAGATACTTTGACCATTCTGATTGAGATGTGATCTTTCATTCTTTAGGAGGCTTTATTGCCAATCTACGGGTAGGTAACAATGATGATGCCTTCAACAATATATTGTTTTCGGTCGATACCACTTGCGCAACTTTTGTTGTGCCAGGAAGTTTGGTGGAATTATCAGCTAGTATACTTGAGTGTCATCCTAGGGACCTTTCAAATCTACGTGATGATAAAAAGATGATTTTACGTCGAGTACTAAGGAAAATAAAAATCAGTATCAAACGCAGTCCTAATGATCCAGGGATCATAAGGTTAATTTATGTAAGTTTCCATATTGGAATGCACAAGATTATGCAGCTAACCAGCTTGCTCAAATATCTTCAAGGATTTTGGGTCAAGTAGTGCAGATGAAAGATTTCAGACTGAAGAGGGGGAACACACTGTTCAAGTGAGTCCCACTTTTTACTCTTTTGATCATTTGGTTGATCCTTTTCATGACTTATTTTTCTCCTTCAATGGTAGAGCTTTTTTGAGAAGCACCATGGTATGCAACTTAGAGGTCCACATTTCCCAACTGTCCAAACAAGTGCCAAGAAAAAAGCGGTGAGTCGATTTTTTGATTACATGCTTTCTGAGATGTGATTTACTGAAATAGACTTTATTGATTAGCTATATCCGATGGAATTATGTGAAGTTCTGCCTGTGAATTCTCTGTTTTTAAAACTCGAGAAACAATTCATGAAATATCTCAAGGCGATTGACTATGATGATTATGTTTTCATCTAGAATCAACAATATAAGTTGACACTGCAATCCGATCAACAACAGAGAGCTCTAACTTTTCAAACTTCAAAGTCAGTCTACGCGGTTTGGACATGATGATATCAAAAATTGAATATTCTTCTACTTACTAAGTTGGAAACAATCATTTTTGAAGGCCGCACCAGAGGTTCATGGACATCAAGAAGGGCTATCGTAGCATGATGACGGAGGAGGCAAGAGATCTGTCAGCTATTGTTCATCACCTCCAACTTGAACCATGTAACTGACTTTTCTATATTGATGTAGGTCAGATGCGTACGGATTAAGAATTTCCGAGGAATTTTTGAGGGCTCCTTGTAGAGTTCTTCAACCTACACATTTGAAGTACGGAGAGTAAGTGATCAAGAGCTTCATTTCGGTTTTTTCCCAGATCTTATTGGGCGCTCTTCCTTTGGACCTTGTGTAGACGTGGATCTGCTATGGCAAAAGACGGACAATGGAACATTGCAAGACCACCCCTGAAACTTTTTCAACCAGGAGAATTATCATCTTGGTCAGTTGATTACTCTTGAACCCTTTGGAGATTACGATCAGATTCTGGTCCTAAATTAGATACATGCTTCTATGCTTTTCATGGGATAATTCCAGGGGTGTGATGGTTTGTACACCAAGAGTGAATGACAGAGAACTAGATCATTTTTTTCCTGCGTTGGTCAGAAAGCAGAATGACATAGGTAAATCGAATCTTTGTTCATGAGTTTATGAAGAGAACGAATTCCATATTCCAAATCATCATAAAAACTTTTTGTTCCAAGGTACTGACTTTGAATGTTTTCTTTTAGGGTTGAATTGTCCAGAAAAGAAACCACCATTTGTCAGACTTCAAGGAACGAGTTCGAATCATATCCGAGCAGCGTTTCATCAGACTGGAAAGCAAGCTCGCCATATCTTCGGATCAGATCCTCAAATTATCATATGTGTAACAGATGATAAAAGTCAATATTATCATATCATCAAACATGAAGGTGATGTGAGTTGAAATGATTCCTCCGCACAATCTGTGATAGCTTAGCTGAATTTGAAGGAATCTACACTCAGCAACTTGCAGATAAGGGGGTGACGACTCAGTGTATGGTTGCTAAACATTTGTAAGTGATCTCAATCAAGTATTTGAATGCTTATTCGAGTTGCTCATCTCTCTTCCATCATGTAGACAGAAGGCCCAGGACCAATACCTCACCAAGTAAGCAAAGATTGCAACCATCTTCGTTATCATCATATAGGTGACTGATGCTTTTTTTTAAATTTCTAGTCTCGCTTTAAAGGTGTAAGTCATTTACTCGAGATCATAAGAATGAAGGAGAGCTAATTAAGATTTTATAGCAACATTAAGATTGGAGGTACAAATCATGTTGTACCAGCTCTCCGTGTATTAACCAAAGGACCTGCTATGCTCGTGGGTGAGTGATGATTCTATCTGCATTGGGCTTCCTGTCCTTTCATTGATGTTAGTTTGGATTTCCCGAAGGTGTCGATTTAAGTCACCAAAACTTAGGATCAGTCCTTAAACCTTCCGTAGTAGGGATGGTTGGCACGATGGATTCAAATTTATGTAGGTATAGTGGTATTGTAGGTATCCAGCCACTCTTAGAGCCCGCGAATGAACAATCTAGGCCCAGGTCTCAAGAGGTTTGTTTCTCCATCGCTTCATAAGATTTAATTGCAAATTAAATTACAAACCGAATTAAAGTATTGAAAAATGATTCTCCAATTGATGGTTTGGGTTTGTTTTGAAAAGCCAATTGAAAAGTTTGAAGATATGTTGTATCAACTTCTGAAAAGATGGAAAACCGAATTTCCAACTCATATCTTCCCCAAGAAATTAATTATTTTTAGAGATGGAGTTTCCGAGGGTGAATTTGGTCAGGTTCTTTTGCAAGGTCAGTTACAATATACATTCTGTAAGGGTGAATTCTATCACGATTGATTTAAACGATGAATTCTTCGTGTTCTCATTCTTTTAGAATACGTCGGAGCTAAAGGTGCGTCAAAGCAAACTTATATGAGGTTGAATTCGGTTTTCGTTCTAACGACTGCTTCTTCGAAAAAGCTGCACTTAAAAGGATCGGTGACGAGAACAATGATTGTAAAGTAAGTTATCAGACTCCATTTTGTACTTTGATCATACAAATTCCTGATCAGGATGTAAATTGTGATGTAGATAACTTTTATAGTGTGTGCCAAGAGGTAAAATGAACTAGCGTCCAATTAGTAGATTTAATCGATAGCTTTCTGATATCTATCTTGATTTTGAAAGTCATCGAATCAGGTTTTTAGCTCAGCAGCATGACCAAGACAGATCAGGAAATGCTCGAGCGGGTACTGTAGTAGATCAAGAAATCGGGGACCCTCACATTTTCGATTTCTTTTGTCAAAGTCAAGCTGGACTTTTAGGAACTTCCAAACCATGTAGATATTGTGTTTTGAAGGATGAATCAGACTTTAGTGTTGATGAGTTACAGGAATTGGTCAACTCGGGTAAGTGGGATTTAAACTCCATTCACAATATTGACATTGTGATTTGTGATTTTCATTTCAATCTTTATCTTTTTCAAGTTTGCTCCTCATATCAACCCGCTACTAGATCTGTTGGAATGGCAGCACCAGCCTATGTGAGTTACATGATCCTTGTCTTGAGTCTTAGTCCAGCTAACCAAAAACTTGAATTTGACATGTCTATTTGGTTGCTTTTCAAACAGTACGCGGATATCTGTAAGCTTGAATTCACCCTCTGTTCTTTTCAATTTGACACAAAGCTCAGTCTTTTTCAAAAAAATGTTGGGTTTCTTCCTTGTTGCAGTGGCAGATAGAGGTAGGATGTGGCTGAATATAGATGACGATCAAAGTTCAGTGGGAGGAAATAGTCATCATGAACAAACTGAGGAACATAGGGCAGCGGATCTTGAAGCATACAACGACAAGATTAATCACATGATGAACAAGATCAATCGCGTTAATCACACCATGTGGTGGACTTGAAACTGGTTCCAATGACATTTCGCATCGTGTGTTAAGTTGATTATTGCATTTTGATTGGGGATTTCTTCCTGTACTTCTCGCATATATCTCATCTTCATGAAGAATAAATTGATTAGTCTTGTTCGCTTGTCTTTTTGTATACTGCGAATTAATGATATCGGTTCAAAATATTCTACCATACATTGTAATTCATCTGATTTACTGAATCAAATATCTCAATCATTTTAATCCTGTAGGATATAATAATATAAACAAAATTAAAGAAGATATATCATCTTGTTATTCGCAAAACAAACGAATCATCTCAAATAGATTTGAATTGACATAAATGTTTCCAACTAGGAGAGATATGCACATGCAAGGTCGTGAATTTTTGTTTTGTCAATTCAAAATTTATATTTCTCAAGAGATCGAACACGATAGATTTCGTGATGTCAAGAAAGCGCACCTTGATTGTTTGGAATCTTGTTTCGATTGCACTATCACATAAAGGGCGCGTCAGATATACTCTCTTGTGAAATCATCAAGAATAGGTTGTTTTGGTGGGGGCAGTGGACTCAGACTCTGCAGTATCACTGTCAGTGAAAAAGATTCTCTTTTTTGGAAAAAGTAGGAATGATAAAATGTTGCATAAAGTTCGTAATTGTAGATCATAATAATAATAAAGAGACAGATGAGAAAATCAAACCAGCTTAATTTAAGTTTTTGTTAAAGAAGATAAATGAAAAGACATGAAAACCGGTCACAATGATTTTAAAGAACCAAAAAAAAGAATCAAATGAAATACAAAAACAATCATCAAAGAGTTTAACCATAACCAATACCAAAAGTTTTAATTCGATCAAGAGTATAAAGTCTGTTATCTTTAAATGTATCTTCACAAATCTTAGTTTTCAATTCTTGAGCACGTTTCCGATTAGAATCTTCATCTTTTTTCTTTTCTTTTTGTTTTTCTTTTAGTTTTGATAAATGTAAAAGTTGTTCTTGTTGTAATTTACCTAAACCGTTTGAAGTAGAACTAGAACCAGAGGTAGGAGTCAAACTAGAACTAGAACTAAGTCCCGGAGTAGAACTTGAAGTAGATGGATGATCTAGATTGTTGCGATGAGAATTGACTGAAGTGTTTGGATGGATAGATTTCTTGGATGGTTTTAGGATTTCATTTGGATCGCCTTTTAGAATTAATGAAAGTCTCTTGAGGTTCTTGCCGTTACTTGAACTTAAGTCTGCGACTAAAGCTTCAGGTTTATGGTGGTGATGATGAGTCAATGGTTTGATGTCTTTTGAAGGTCTTCTTGAACTTGAATCAGTTGGGCTTGGGATCGGTATCATTGATGTTTGATTTGGTCTTCTAATCCTTCCAGTGATCAATACTCCAGAGTTATCGAGGTAATTACGAACTGTGATTCATGATCGATTATGGATTATTTTAGATGATGTGCTTTACTGTCTTTCGAGGAGAATCTGATGTCACTTACCGTTTGAAGGAGGTCGAGGATGGCTTGGTTGACTTTGTGGTTCATCATCATCACGATCAGAATCCATATCAGCTGTCAATAATGAAATTGAAAAACAAGTTAATCTCAACTTCGACTTCAGTTTGTTTTTAGGTTCTTTGAAGTTAAAACTCACGAAATGGTGTGGCGGGTCGACCGATTGGCATTGTTGTTTTAATTTGACTGAATTTGTTAAGATAGATTATTGCAAGAACCAGCAAGCTGAAAAATCTTTATTGTTTGTTTGATGTGTTAGGGTCGAAGTTCAAGTCAAATGCAAAGTAAGTGTTTGGGACTGATGGCTTAATAGTTTATCAAAAGTTGTTGAAGTTAAGACTGATGAAGACAAAGTTGAAGAGGATTGGTGGATGTGGTTACTTAAAGTGTGTAGAACTGATTTACTGAGTGAGGAAAGTGAGGAATCCAACGATCAATTGGGTTGCTTTTATATGAATTCATTACTCTATCTGATAGCTTATGAGAAGGCGAGATAAGGATAGGGATAGTCAGAAGGCATGTAGTCAAAGGATAGATGGCTATCATTACTTCGGGCGAAAAACCTCAGATCGAGCGATTCACACTTACCTTGCCATCTTCCTTGGCTATAGACGGAAAGTTTGAATGGTATCTTACTTGCCTACATCAATTATTAGGTGATTTGAATAGGCATGAGCCATCTTCGAGTGTTTTATTTTAATGTTAACCATGTTAGTTAAGTTGACTATCGTTGCTTATCTCGCGTTCTCTTAGCACGAAACCAAAAAGAAATCAAACTGTCGAATGTAAGCCCATCCAAAAGCAAAAGAAATGCGCTAGATCAGGCGGCAGATCAGGCTCTGTCGATATTGTTGAGTGTTGAGTGCTGAGTCGGAGCAGGGGCTCGATCACAAAAAGTACAGGGAAAGCAACTGGTTTTTGATATGACGTCATGATCAGATTGACCGTAACTCCTTTTGATCCCTTCACTTCCTTCACTTCACAATCCTCGCCATTCTGATGCTTACTGGTCCAGCCTCTTCTAAACTACAAGAGATTTTACAAATTTCTCAAATCTTCATAGACTTGATCGAACCCAGATACGCGAATTCTGATGTATCTGTATGGCTGAAGGCCTACCATAATCATTTCGATACTAGCGGACTAAATTGCAACGCTGAAGGCATTCTCACACCCTCAGAAAAATGTGGTTGTTAAGCTCTTTGATTGTTGTGGATCCAGTGCGATGTTCTCGATTTCAAAATTGCTTTATCGATGAAGCCGATGCTACTGCTGCTACGTCATCCAGCCTGTTCCTTCAAGTACATACCAGGCGGTGACCTCTTCACGCCCGAGCTTGCGAGCCGCCGTTCTATTCCTGTCATGGGTGGGTTTCGGCGGTCCGGCTCAAGTCTCTAGAATAGTATGCAAACGCAGGAACTGGTCCTGCGAGCACATTGGTCATACCACCGAATCCGATGAATCAATCCGCTGCGGTATGCTGAAACACAACTGCATAACACACATTCCAGTCGGTGACCTCATCACGCATGAAATTCCGGATGAAGAGCTGGTGTCGATTCATGCGTATGAGTGGGTCCGGCCGTGTTACCAAAAGGGTATGTGCAGGCATTGATCCTGCGATATCATAAACACTGATAAAGCAATCCGCTGTGGTATCCTGAAACGCGACTGCTTACTATTGCGATTTTCACGACTAGATACTGAAGTGGCACAAACAGGGGCACAACTCTGCATTTTGCACTTCTTTCCACTTTTCTGCCTCGTCTCGGTCGGTTTCCGATGCACCCCTCCTAGCCCGCTACCCCAAGAGAAAACAACACCGGGTGAGGAATGAGGATGTATCTAATTAGGATAGCTGATAAAGTTCAAGTTCTGAGCGTTGGGCCGCTGTAGAAAACAGGCTTAAAATCTAACTTGAGTCGCGATTTTCAAACAAGCCCTAAGAGCATCCCCAACGCGCCGGGAACTGGAAACCTGGTACAGGTGTCACAAATGACACTTGGACACCTGTATTTCAGCTTCAGCTTCAGTAGGCAGCACCGCGCAAGCTGAATAAGAGATTCAGTTTTCTACCCCTGTCTAAGGATAGGACACGATCAGATCAATCGCATGGATTGGCCGCTTGATCTGATCGAGGTCGTGGTAATGTGTGCTTCAAGCTTTGAGATAGGACACGAAGGAACGAAAGAGGCGAGTTTCGTGGTCTCAACGTGTCCAAATTGTGAGAAATCACGTTTTCCGAGGGGGATGCTCTCAGCTAGAAACAATTGGAACAAACCGTACGTATTCCAGCTGGCGGAATAAACGAAATCGCACCCATGGCCAACTGTGCGACTTTTTACTCGCGCTGGAGGCTGTTTTTCGGAAAATCTTTGCAAACGTAATTTTGACATTACGTTTCTGTCAGAAATGCTAGGTAAACCCTATGTAAAGGTTACGTTTCCGGCGGCGCGTTGGGGATGCTCTAACAAGCCAAACTTATCAAAGTCCCTCGCCAAAGGCCCGAGGCTTTAAAATTGGTGTGAAAGAAATTCAAGTAAGAGAAGGATCAAACAAAGTAATTCAGTGTTTGATGTCTATATTTCCTTCATTTGAAACCATTCGATTTTTACTACGGGCTTGTTACAAACTTATCAAAGTCCCTCGCCAAAGGCCCGAGGCTTGAGCGAGGGACTTACCGCTAAAAAGAAAATCATGGCCTGAGAAGTAGCCTGTATTGGCTCAAATGTTGCTACTTCAATATACCCGTTTTGTTTGTAAATGAACAAGGCTTGAAGCAAAATAAAAGTAGGACCAAAAACGTCCATTACATACATTGCAACTGCATATTGGGATCTCAGATCCCTGATCAAGATCAAACAACAACAAATATCAGTCAGATAAACTAGGAGGGACAGTGATGGTCCGGAGAGGTTATTTGGAGATGATGTTTGTTGTGTGAGAAAACTTCTAAGATTGATAATATTTCTTTTTATCTAAACAAACACATAAATGAAACTGGAAATGAAAACAATTATTAGAACACAGCATACCTGATCAAGATCAAACAACAACAAATATCAGTCAGATAAACTAGGAGGGACAGTGATGGTCCGGAGAGGTTATTTGGAGATGATGTTTGTTGTGTGAGAAAACTTCTAAGATTGATGAAGAAGAAGTAAGAAGTTTTCTCGAGAGACAAGTTTGATATACTAGATCTGCCAATACAAAACAAGGTTAGGTTTAGAAACAAAATGTATTGAGTATCAGACATTGTACAAGTTTATTTTAATATGTAATTGTAATTCATCCTACGCAACACAATGAATCTTATAACAGAACTTGGTTCCAACAGCCCCCCCTGCTCACTACTTTTTGATTTGAGATAAACCTAACTGATCATAACTACTTGATAAAATGTTAGCTCCTACAGCCTTCGTCAGCACATCAGCAGGCATTTCCTTTGTGGAAACATGTGAAACCGTAATTTTTCCTTCACGCGTCAATTCTCTTATAAAGTGATGTCTTATATCTATATGTTTTGATTTATTATTGACCGAAGCTTCATTGCACAAAAACACCGCCCCTTGATTATCATTTGATAGTGGAAGTTTGATGGGAACACTGATACTTGACTGCTGATGTAAATGTTCGAGTAATCGGCATAACCATAATCCATGCTTTGCACAATCTCCTATAGCTAAATATTCTGCCTCAGTAGTTGAAAGAGTTACACAATGCTGTCGACGACTTTTCCATGATACCAAAGATCCCTTCACAAAATACACAAAACCCGTAGTTGACCTCCTCGTGTCAATGTCCCCAGCGTAATCCGCATCAGCATATCCCTCAACTGGTAAGTTCTTAGCCTTGCTCGTCCCAAACATTAGGTCGAAAGATGACGTTCGCCGCACGTAGCGTAGTAGATGTTTGACTGCTGCCCAATGCGTTTGGTTGTGGCGGGAATTGAAACGTGAAAGATAACTGACCGCATAGGCTATGTCCGGTCTGGTCTGCACTGAAAGAAAATTGAGCATTCCGACGGCACACCGGTACTCCTCTATTTCCTCTGATTCCTCAAGAGACAGAGTTGTTAGTCTGATGTTTTGGGGCAATGGTGTCTTGACTCCATTGCATTGAGACATACCAAAGCGTTCGAGCATCGCGTCACAGTAATGAGACTGATCTAGAGTTATGGTTCGTTGAGACCGGTCACGTTTGATGTGTATGCCGAGGTGGAGAGACGGGTTTTCGTTCCAACGGAATTTGTAGTGTTGGCTGAGATTGGTTCGAAACTGCTTTAAGAAAGACTTGCTGTTTGAAAAAGCCATGCCGTCGTCAACGTGCATAGGTATATGTATGAATAAGTCTCCATCCCTCAGAGTGTACAAGGAGTTGTCAACAGGACAGACTTTGAATCCCATGCTTTTGAGTTTGGTGTCAAAGTCGTCATTGAACTCTCGATGCGCTTGACAAGTACCGTAAAGAGATCTGTCGAGTTCTACTACATGTTTAGGCTTTGATGTATCTCTGAATCCCGTTACTTGACAAACATAAACACGATGCTTAATCTTCCCGTTCAGAAAAGCCGTCTCGATATCAAACTGCTCCATTTCTAGATCGTCCGTAGCAGCAAGAGCGTATAGGGTTTGTAAGGTGTCGGTCAGGCCAACTGAAGCATATGTGGAGTCGAAATCAACGCCCTTGATTTGATGATTGCCGCCAGCTACCCAACGAGCCTTGTACTTAGTGATTTGTGAGAATTCATCCCTCTTTTGTTTGAGTCGCCACATGCCGGGTAAGATGTTAGCATCTGGAGGAGGTTCCACAAGGCGACCTACTTCATGAATTTGTAAGGACATAAACTCCTCTGCCATTGCTGCTAACCATTCTTCTCGATTTGGACCTTTCATTGCTTGAGAGTATGATGGTTCATCATTTTCTGGACCATCGTCAGTCTGGCTAATTGAAGCTTGATTGAGTTCCGCGACGGTGTGATAGCCTATCAGATTCCCAAGTCGTTCAACTGGGGCTGCTCCTCGCTCTGATTGTCGTGGTACAGGTGGTGGTATTGCAGGAGGAGTAGGGATTTGCAGAAAGTCATGAATTGTGTCAGTGGTTGATTGTGATGAGGTAGGAATATCCCAGACTTCATCCCATGAATCATCATTTAGAATCGTCAGTTCTTCCGTTGTCGACTTGTCAAGATGCCGAAGGGGAAAAGAACCTTCATCAAATATCACGTCATTGGAAATCATGATGCGATTGGATTTCGGATCCCAGAGCCGATACGCGTTTGAATTCTTCTCGTACCCTACCATTATCGTCTTTATTGAACGTGGAATCAGTTTGTTTTGATGACCAGGTGGAATGGAGTACGCTAAGCAACCAATGACCCTTAGTCGGTTGTACGGGAGGTTAGGCACTTTCATGTTGAGCACAAGCGTCTGCCACGCATATTCGGGACAGTTGAACTTTACAGATTTGGAGGGACACAGGTTGAGAACAAATGATGTCGCCATCATTACCTCACCCCAAAGACGAACAGGCAGATTGCCGTGTATAAGCTGAGCTCGTAGGCGTGAAGCAGCAGTCCTGTTGAAACGCTCCACTACAGAGTTTTGTTCAGGACTCTCAGGTGGGCCCATTTCATGCACTATGCCATTTTCACGAAGATATTGATTGAATTCATTACTTGTAAATTCTCCACCTCGGTCGGTTTTGAACACAGAAATTTTATTATTAGGAGCATGATTTGAAAGCATTGAATGAAATTGTTTAAAGGCCTCAAACGCCTGAGATTTTGTTTTAAGAAGTATAACCCAATTTTTGCGAGTAGCATCATCTATAAGTACCATAGTGTAAAGATAACCCCCAGTACTTGCAGCAGGAAATGGACCTGCGAGATCACAATGCACCCGATAACCAGGGATTTCAGACCTCGGCAAAGCGCCAGTATGGCTGCTCCTCGCCTGTTTCCCCAAGGTGCAGGCTTCGCAAGTCTTTGATGCATCCGGATTAAGTCGTAGGACATCCTCCATGACACTTGAGGTACTCCTGTGATTTAGATGACCAAACCGTTGATGCCATAAGTCAGTATTGTTAGGATTTGATGACTTGACGAAAGACGCACGTGGTTCGGAGTAATGATAGAACTTCCAGAATCCACCGGGACCGGCATCCTTGTAAGCTGGAAGGATGTGCTTCGAGTTCGAGAAATACATGTTGAGATCATTGGTGTTCGTGCCATAGTGTGGATCAACCATCTTGAACCCAGATTCGTATAGCTCAGTGACCGAAATGAGGTTTGCAGGAAGAGACGGTGAGTAAAGAACGTTGGGTATTTCAACAAGAGAAGGCGATCCATCCGGTCCAAAAGCGTGAAGCTTTGCCGTACCCATCTTGGTGGCAACAATGCGGGACGAGTTATCGGCATTTGCCACATTAATCCATACTGGAGCAACATCACGTAGATCATCAAGCATCAGCGCGTCTCCAAACATGTGCCTGTTGCAAGCAGTGTCGGCTAGCGTGGCTTTGTGAGTGTCAGATGGAGATGGATAGCTTGGTGAAGCAACGAATGAGACCTCGTCAATTACCGGTGTCGCAATTGTATTGTAGGATGTCGCAAACTGGCATGCCGCTTCACTGGTATGATTTGGAACAGGGGCTGCAGTACTCGGTGTCGGAGTAGTTGCCTGAGTCGGTTGAGATGAAGCTTCGGTATTAAACCCGACAACTCCAACAGCTGCGAGCTGATTATACCTTTGTATCTTCTCTGAATCAGTAAGCCCTTGGTTGGATGATGGCTGACTACTATTCATCGGTCGAGTTGGACCACGGTTTCGCCTCTGCTTCATGCATACACCGTTAGTGTGCGTGAACTGCCAGTGCTCTTGTAGAACACAAGGTGCATTGGGGGATTTATCGGTACGAGGGATTGTCAGACGATGAGCTGGAGCAGGCGGATGCTTGATCAAAGCAGCCATGGCTATCGGGTTCTCATCAACTGTGCTGAGAGCAGACTTCGTTCGTAGACGGGATACGACTTTCGATGTTGTGAGATTCTTCATATCTCCAAACATTTGATCTCGAATCGTTGCAAATTGATCGCTTGGAAAACTTAGAAGAAGGAAAACAGCTAAAAGATTGTCGCTAATCTTCAGATCATCATCACTTGCAGTGGCCTCTGCGATTTGTGTATGTAGATCACTGATCCCATCAAGGAAGGTGGAAATTGTTTCGGAACCGTTAAAGCGTACGGTAGCAACTTTGGCTATGAGTGCAGCCACTTCCAAGCCGTCGTCTTGAGAAGCTTGGGCATGTAAAAGCTCATATGCTTTCTTGGGGTCTTCGATTCCCCGAATAGCAGGTAAGCGAGTAGGCTCAACCGTGCATCTAATGACTTCTAGAACAGACGCGCGTTCAGCTTCGAGCTGCTCGACCTTATCGAAATCTTTTGCATCGGTCTCAGATAGGGAGGTGTCGCGTTCTACGTGTTTCCAAAGTTTGCGACTCTTCAGGTACGTTTTGATTTCAAGTACCCAATCAACCTTGTTGGTGTGGTTGAGCTTCGGTATTTGTGCTAGTAGAAGTGAAGAGTGCGAAACGTTGGCGTTGGAAGACATGACAGGAGGCGTCACGGCTTCCTTCGACTCTGTATGTGGGGTAGAGATCGACGGATTGTTTGGTTCAGGATCGACAGTTGAGTTTGGGAGGGTGGGTTGGTCAGATTGACTGGGATCTGTAGGTTCTGTCGGATCCAGAGTGATATAGTTTTCGTGGGGTTAAGACTGTATCACTAAGGTTTGACAATTGAATTGAGGTATTATGGTTCTCCGGACTTCGAAATGAAAGATTCGAATGCCTAATTCAATTATCGGAAGAATCTGGAACAATACCAGGTTCGATTAAAAGTATTTCAAGTTTAAATTAGACGGTTTCTCGTGCCAAGAGATCGTATTTATAACTTTAATCTACTATCGTTGAGTATCGAGAATTGTTTAAAGCTGTAAGCCTGGGCTCATAACCTATTGGGATCTCAGATCCCTGATCAAGATCAAACAACAACAAAATCAGTCAGATAAACTAGGAGGGACAGTGATGGTCCGGAGAGGTTATTTGGAGATGATGTTTGTTGTGTGAGAAAACTTCTAAGATTGATAATATTTCTTTTTATCTAAACAAACACATAAATGAAACTGGAAATGAAAACAATTATTAGAACACAGCATACCTGATCAAGATCAAACAACAACAAATATCAGTCAGATAAACTAGGAGGGACAGTGATGGTCCGGAGAGGTTATTTGGAGATGATGTTTGTTGTGTGAGAAAACTTCTAAGATTGATGAAGAAGAAGTAAGAAGTTTTCTCGAGAGACAAGTTTGATACTAGATCTGCCGATACAAAACAAGGTTAGGTTTAGAAACAAAATGTATTGAGTATCAGACATTGTACAAGTTTATTTTAATATGTAATTGTAATTCATCCTACGCAACACAATAAGGGTACTCAAAGCAAAGTATGTAGCGCTACATACTTTTCGCTACATACTTTTTTTGGCGGGGACAAAGAAAAAAAATATACTTTTGGCCTCGCCTTCCCCGCCAAAAAAAGTATATAGCAAAAAGTATGTACACGTACATACTTACTTTGAGTACCCTTAATGAAATCTTATAACAGAAACTTGGTTCCAACACTGCAAGCTCCACCATATCTTGTCTGGAGCGCCTGCTAGTGGGTGTTAAAAAACATGTCTTTTTTACTTTTTCTGACCCGTGAGCCCGCTTGGAGCCTGTATTTGGTGAAATTGATTGATCTTCAATCACTCAAAAGTGCAAGTTCCCAGAAAGATACAAAGGAGCTTGCAATTGGAGCATACGTAATGAGATCTTAATGTTATCTTTTTATTTTGCATCAAATATTGTTTCTTGTGGGATAAAAAAAATAAACCAATGTAGAGCTTTTCAAGCCAATACAGGCTACTTCTCAGGCCACGCTTTTCTTTTTAGCGGTAAGTCCCTCGCTCAAGCCTCGGGCCTTTGGCGAGGGACTTTGATAAGTTTGTAACAAGCCCGTAGTAAAAATCGAATGGTTTCAAATGAAGGAAATATAGACATCAAACACTGAATTACATAATTTGAATTACTTTGTTCGATCCTTCTCTTACTTGAATTTCTTTCACACCAATTTTAAAGTCTTTTGAAACACGCAAAGCATGATCCCAACGCTATCAATTTATATTTAATCCTCTGTCTTCTCCTTCAAGTTTCGCTTGAGAAATTCAAGATTTACACCTGATCGCCAACCACAACACCCGACGTTTTTAGTTTTAAGAAGCTTCAATCCAGTTTTTTTTCTGAAAGTTTCAAGCTTTTATCAAGGATCATGTTCAAAAGCATTTCAGTTTTTACTTTCTTTTCGGCGTTAAGTCTGCAATCTATACATTGTGTACCTAATTTTCGGCCAGGTAACTCTCAATTCTTGAATTCATTTTCTGTTGAGAAAAGCTGAGGACTAATTCTGTTTGTTTGAATTGCCTGGAAAACTCCACAATCAGCTGAAATGATGGTAAACCATGCGGTGGACCATCTCGACTCAAGCAGACCACAACCAATGATTGTGTCTACACCGTATCACTTTCAACCACAAACTATGAATTCTGTACCACAGTATCAACCTGTGATCGGAGTACCTTATGGATTTCAACCATCACCAGAAAGTCTCGGATATCTACCTCCAAATCTAAAGACTAATTACAAGATACCAGGACCCCAACCTCAATATCCTGATGACCCTTCACGATTTGTTCGCCATGGTTATGTTCATCATCCTATCCAACCTAATCGGCAACCAGCAGATCCAAGATTTCAAGCTCTGGTACGTCCATTTCCAATTCAGGTATATTGTCCTCTTCACCTATTCTTGAATCAATTCATGATCCAAAAATGTATTTGACGGGATAATCAGGCTGAGATCAACCTTCTATATTTTTTGCAACATGATTGTACCCCACACGATTCCACAATTGGATAAAGTTAAATCAAGGCCAAGTGAATGAATTTCATTTGAGAAAACAGTGGTTGAATGGGATTGTTCAAAAAAGACAGAAAGTCACACAGAATGCTAAGCAGAAAGTTATCAAATCAACCAGAAAAGGTAAAAAACCATCACCATTAGGAGTTAAGAAAGTGAACAAAAACGTACGTTACATCACAGATTTGGTTTTATTAATTTTACTCAAACCTATAGAGATACGAAGTGAAACACAAGAGGATTTTCAAATGTCGTGCTCATGATTTGGATTATTTGGATCTTAGGTTTCAAATAAGAACAAAGGCAAAGTGCTTACCAATGGCAGACCCAACCAAGCCTATTATCCACTTATTCGATCACCAAAAGATATACATGAAGGGATTTCAGCAGGAATGAAATCAACCATCACCGAGGTAAGTTATACATAATATCAAACTTTTTCTTTTTCAACTTTGATGAAACCTATAAAAACATAAATTCAAAAACCACAAGCCAATTAATAATTATTTCATGGTATGCTTCGCTTTGTTCACAGGTTTCAAACACAGTCAATAATCGAGCTGTTGCTAATCTCCTTCAATTAAATGCACGCAAAGTGATGTTGGAGAGGGGACCAAAAACATTACAAGATCAAGTCATGCTCGAACGAGTAAAGGGTGTAATTTGTCAAATACTTCAGAAACATTTGAATCTACCACATGGTCTCATCCCCGAAAATCTTGAGCCTACCTTGGCTAATGTTCTACAATGGAAAGAAGGATTAATGAAAGCCCAAGTAGCTCATACAAACGAGTACCGTCAATTGGACAGTTTACTCGATCAAGCGAAGAAGACACCTTTACTAGTAGAGATACCAACATCTGGAGCAACTGAATCGGTTGGATCTACAATATCTGGTGATGATTTAAAAACAAGTGAAGAAGTAGACTCTGAACTTACAAAATTGAGCCTTGGTCCTTCATCTAATTATGAAGTAGCAAGTAAAAGGTTTCAAAGAATTCCTACATTCGATTTGAATAAGGAACCAGTTGCTTGATCGAGGAAATCAAAGAATTCGTATACAAGATTAGAGTTTTAGAGGTTTCTTTTAGAGGCTTTTGATCATTAGCAAAATACTAGACTTCGGTTTCTCGCTCTTATAGAATAAGTCTCGATTTTGAATGAGATAGATTTGGCGATAAACAAAACGCTTTGGGGTTTCATGCTTTTTGGGTTTTGAGTTTCATTTTTCATCTTTCGTTTTTCATTTGTTCATTGTTTCTCATTTTTATTGGAATGTTAGAAGCGCATACTACATCTTTTTGCTTCCAAACAAGATTACAAAATACAAGTAATTTGTTGATAAGTTTGACTTTCTTTCTTTTTAAGATTTATGATAATACATAATCTTTCTTGTAATTCTCATAACATTTTTTGAAGATCATGTTTAGGATTACTTTTTCTATTAGAACTTTGGTTCCAAAGAAAGACCCTTGTTGGTCCTTTCTTTTTGTGAGTTTTCTTGTTTTAAATTTAAATCCATCTTGTGGAAAGGAATGGTTGCCAATGATGAAGTTATATTTAAAAAAGTGGCATAATCATACTTGGCAGTCAACAGGGCCACGTGCTCGGTCACCATATCTCCATCCTGTGCAGTGGCAAATTTCCGCAGTGCCGGCTAACCTAACAAAATCCCTCCCGGCGAGCGAGCCTGGGAGAGAGGGACTTACTCAATCTGGAAATCATGTTTAGTGATCAATGGCATGTAAGCTTGCAGGACTGATATCTCCGTGTGGTTCCCCCCCATACTCTGGAAGAATATATCACCGTCAGACGGGATGCCTCTCAAAAGAATTAAATTATGAGCAACGGCCTGCAACGGCGACAATGCCCTATACACCAACCCTAACCCTAATCCTTGAGTTTTGCTACTGCTCAACTCCCTCGCCAAGGAAGGGCCATGACCCATGGGTGCCATTTTATAATTGGAACTCCCCTCTACCAGTCCATACGCGTGTGTCGCTGTGATTTCGTCAGCTGCAGCCGTTACTCCTCCCACTACTTCAGGGATAAAAGAGCCAAGAATGAAACATGTCCGGAGGAATTCACCTAATCGATTCGGAGAGTGCTCTTTGAGAGCTGTGAGTAATAAGTCCCGCGCTTTTTACTTCAAGTTCAATGCTTTGGAGACCGCACCATGCTCACACTTCGATCACTCAAGAAAGTCATAGTATTACATATGCCGCATCTTGCTTGAGAGTCGTACCGTAGGTATTTACCGCTGTGAATCTCTGGGTGTTGATGCCTCAAACAGTTGCCTACCTCTTCGTGCGACCGATATGTACGGCACGAGTTTAGGGTACGGCTGGGAAGCTCTAATTACTCGACAATGTTTGACACTAGTTTAATCCTTTGAAACATGCAAATCATCATGGCGCTTTCAATTTTTATTTATCATGTCTTCTCCTGCAATATTGCCTTGAAAAATTTACCGACTACACCTGATCGACAAGAACAACTCGCGACTTTTTCAGTTTTGAGAAGTCTTGATCCAGTTTTTCTTCTGAAAGTCTTGCCAACTAACTACGGATGATGTTTCAAAGCATTTACCTTTTTACTTTCTTTTCTGCTTTGACTCTGCAATCTATCCAATGTTTACCTAATATTCGGGCAGGTAATTCTAAAATCTTCAATCAATTTTTATGAGAAGAGCTTAAAGCTAATTCTGTTTTTTTGTAAAATTCCCGGAAAAACTCGTCAATTAGTTGAAGAAGGCGGTCACTCTATTGGTGATGTTGTAAGGCAGATCAATGGAGTTCCAGATGGGAATCAAATGATGGTAGATCATGCTATGAACAACGTCGAGTCAAGTGGACCGCAACCAGTGGGTGTACCTAAAGCGTATCGCTTTAAAACAATAGTTATCAGACCGACACCACGGTATCGACCTGCGATCGGAGTACCTTATGGATTTCAACAGCCCACAGAAGACCTCAGACCTGCAAGGCTACCTACTTATAAAATACCAGGAGCAGGCGCTGTTTACTTGCATAACCCACCAGGAGATGTCCGCTACGGTTATGATCATCAGCCTATTCAATTTAATAGGCAACAAGTGGATCCAAGATTTCAAGCGGTAGGAGGTCCAAATCCATTTCAGGTAAGTCCCCCTCCTCGCCTATCCTTGTATCAATTTATTTTACAAAAGGCACACATATAGATGGAATGATGAGGCTGAAATCAATCTTTTATAATTTTGTTGAACACGATTGTACCTCACTCGATTCCACCCGATTGGATGAAGTTAAACCAAGGTCAACTGAATGAAGTTAATATGAGAAATCAAATGTTAGCTGAGATTGGTCCGAACGGACAACAAATCATCAATAATATCAGACAGAAAGTTAAGACTACAATGGAGTCAACTCAATTTAGAGAATCAAAATCCAATCTGAATCCTAATCATGGTCAACAAGTCAATCCATCAAATCCAGCAGCACAAGGTCAACCTCAAGCGCTTACTGAAGCGCAAACAACCAGAAAAGGAGAAGGGAAATCGCCATTAGGAGTCAAGAACGCCAACAGAAAAGTAAGTCATGTCACAGTTTGTTTTTTTTCACTTCTTCTCTAAAAGTCAACTACGAGGGGATTGAGAATTGTTGTCATGATATACATCCTTTGGTTATCAGGTTGCAAACAAGAACAAAGACAAAGTTCTTACGAAACCCAACCGAGTCGATTATAAACATTTTCAACCGATAAAAAATGTTCACGAAAGTATCCAACCAGGATATAAATCGATCGTCAATGAAGTAAGTTATATCACACTTTCAAAAAAATTCAATTCCATATGAACCGATGAAAACAGAAATCCAAACGCAACAAGCAAATTAATTATGATTTTGATCACCTGAATTCCTTTTTTATTAGTTTTCGAACGCAGAAGATGATGCAATTTATCCTAACCTAGCTCAATTGTATAAAAGATCTAAGATGTTACAGAACGCACCGCAAACCCAAGAGAATCAAGTCATGCTCGGACAATTGAACACTGTAATCAACGAAAGGCTTTTGAGACCCTTGGATATAGAAGATGGTGTGCTCTCCAGAAAGTTTAAACCGAACTTACTTAACCTTTTGAAAAGTAGAAGGAAATTAGACTTTAGATCACCAAGGACCTTAAAAAGGAAAAAAGCGAAATACTACATTCTGAATACGCTGATTGAACAAGAAATGAGGCAACCTATAGATACACCAATGCCATTATGGGATTTATCTGAATCGGTTGGATCTACAACAGCTGGAGATAAATTGAAATCGAATGAAGAGGTAAATTCTCAACTGAAAGAAAAGAACGTCGGGCCTTCATTCAATCATGATGCAGCCACTAAGAAGTTTCAAAGAATTCCTACATTCGACTTGAATAAGGAACCGGATGAATTTGAAGACAAGTAACCAACTTATCTTGAGGGGAAGAAAATAATTCACACAGATTAGAGCTTTAAATCAACACTTTTTAGACGTTTCTTTTTGATAAGCATGTTGATGCCATTCGATCAACAAAAGATACTAAATTTGCGTTTCTCTCTTTGATAGAACAAGCCTCGATCTCGAATGAAATAGATTTTTCGATATTTCAAACGCGTCGTCGTGTTTTATGCTTTTTGGGTTTGGGGTTTCATTTTTTATGACTTCTTTTTAAAATCTAGGATTGCATATTTCATCTTTTTGCTTACAAGTAAAAATACAGAATGTATCTAATTTAATTAATAATTCTTGTTTTCTTTCTCTTCAATAGAGACTTGGTCATTTCTCTAATTTTTGTAACATTGATTATGTTTCAGATTGATGTGGTGGTAGACTTTTAATTTGAAAGAAAGATGATTGATCATCCTTTCTTTGTTCAAGTTTTCATAATCTCGAACTTATACTCATCTTTTGAAACTCATCTTTTGAAAAGGAGCGTCGAGTTGTAAGGATGAAGTCATAAAAATGACATACTACCAGGACCAAGTGCTTCCTCACCATATCTCCAGCCTAAGTAGTGCCAAATTGACGCAGTGCCCGTAATTCAGATGAGGGAAACCGCACAAGGAAGGAAAAGCGACGCCCAATTGCTAGCTGGGGGTGCCTCAGCAATGAACGCTGCGAATGCCGGCCCGCAGTCAATTTGAGGCTGTGTTCAAACTGGATGGCTTTCTCAGTTTGCTCTGCGCGAGACGTCGAGCCCACACAGGTCTGGGAGACTTCACAATGATCGGTCGAATGCATGATGGTTGAGAGGAAATTCCGCGCCGAGTTGTTCGAGGTTTCGAGCATGGTTCTGAAAACTTTCTGCAATTGACAGAATGAAAGTTGCCGCAGAGATCATCACCAATCATCATCTTGATGATGCAATCTGCGGAAGGCCAACAAGCCTACGTGTTTGGTCCGAATCCAGTTTGTCTTTTAGACTTGGTACACATGATTTCTGCCGGACTATTCAACACAGAAAAGTGTACACCGCGCCCAAGATTGATACAAATCAACCACAACTGCCAGTCAAATTATGCCTTCAAGTTCCAGGCCCTTGACAGTGACCTCACCAAACTCTCAAAGGATCTTGGAATCTATCGGCTGCTCATACCTGTGATTGATTTTCTGTTTCTTTCTCAAGAGGTGAAATAATCAGAATCCAGCTTGTGTTGATCACAACATACACCTACATACCTTCTATCCCAAACTACCGAAATCTGATCATCGCCCCACATACCAACGCGGGAGATTCGAGTGACCCATAGCCCATCATTAATGCTGTGACTTCTTGATCGCATGTATGAGATGAGTGATAGCAAGACTACCAAGCGTCTTCAGTCTTGCGAGGCTTGAGGGTGATGTTAAGTTAAGGAGGGTTTGGTTAGATTGCTTACCGTTGATTCTCAGCCAAATGCTTGTGAGACCAAAAGGTCTTTTGTGCCTCCGCGCGCACGTTATTGCGATGCCAACGTATATAGCGTCTCCATCTCGAGCTTAGAAGGCTGGACCCTGATGAGGCCATACCGCAGCCCCTCGTGATTCCATGAAGAAGATGCCCGGTTGCTGCAAAACTGTAAGGCATTTCTATTTCTTGGTATCTTGATCCGCACCGCATAGGTCCATAACACTCAACTTCCATCCACGGGACCCTCACCCTCCTTCACCCTTGAGTCTTTTCGCAGCTTGCAATCATCCTGGTTTGGACGGCCTAAGACAGTGCTTTGCATCCATAAAATCGTGAAGCCGGGTGAATGTGAATGAGAAGCTAGACGGAAATGGTCCTCAACGCTTTTGATTCAGTCAACAGAGGCGCTGAATAGACCCACCACCCATTACACAAGCCACCCAGTTATTTCTAAGAAAAGCCCAAGCGCCTTCAATTCATTAAAAAGTTTTCCAAATTAATCTTTTTTGCAGATTTGACTCCGCGTTAATTCCTAACCGTTCTGAGGAAATCAAATTAGGTACGTACATAATCATTTTTTTGATTTTATCGAGATCCAAGTTCAAACCTCTGTCCCTCTTCAACATCTCTCAACAACTTCTTACCTCTTCAACTTCTACCACAGTCTTTTAGTTTATATAAACTCGTTAGCCATTTGAAGTTATTCTTCATCTACAACCATCTCAATCATCTTTCTTACATTCCGGCTCCACCCCGTTTCATTCAACCGACACAAGGTCCAACTTGTCAATACATCTTACATCATGATCTGCACGCTCTCTATCTTTGTCCTTGCCATCACTCGTCTGGCCAATGCTTCCCTCTCACCTACTTTCCCAGTATCTGGTAGCGTTTGTCAAGTCGGAGCTGATTGTCAAATCAAATGGATCGATACCCCTGCCTCTCCTACCGCCGCCTCAATGGGTGAAACTTCTATCGACCTCGTTTCCGGTGACCCATCAAACCTACAAATTGCTCAAGACTTGGGAGGCGTCTCTAACCCGGGAGTTGCAATGGCTTTGACATTTAAGCCTGATGTTACTTTGGCTGCTAACACCAAATAGTAAGTCTTTGCATTCCTGCTACGCAAATTTGACATGGCAACTGACTTATTCACTTCTTATGCAACAGTGCCATCCGTTTCGTACCCAAGAACAACGCCCAAGGTGTTGTTTTCTCGACCTTTTTCACCATCACTGGTGGTAGTAAGTGTCATCAATTTTATCAGATCTTTGTTCTATATCTGTTTTCTGACACGGGCAATCTGCTACTCTTCTAGACGGTACCGGCAAAACCACCCCCATTCCCTCCACCGGAGCCACCGCTGGAAACATGACCTCTGCCAACCACTCCGCCTCGACCAACATGTCTAGCACCAATGGATCCATGGCCAACATGAACATGACTGCCTCCAAGATCAACACGACCGACTCATCGAAACCTACGAGTTCTGCTTCACGTTTCTCACCTCAAGCTGTCCTTCTTGTTCTTGCTGCACCTATCATTGCCATGCTACTTTAGAGATCAATCATGTAGTTTTGCTTTTCCATATCGCATTGTATTAAGAACTTCTATAATCCATTGCAACGGAATTTTGGAGATTCAATCATTAAAGTTATCTTGAAAGTCAAAGTGTTTCATGGAGATTTTGTTTAGTGATGGTGATTTGAATGCATTTAACATTTTTTATTTCGTTTTTCATACCTTTATTTAACAGGCCCAATTGTCGAGTCTTTTGCAAAAGGGTGGATAAGGTGTGATATCATGCTCATACTATCCCCGTGTTGCAGCTCTGAGGAAAAACCTGACTCCTTGTAGAAACCTATAGGATTTTATGCTTGCCTTCCATGACCTTCAGGAGCATTATTTGAAGATTGATAAGTGCTTACTTAGAACCAGGCAAAATCTCAAAGCTACACCCTTATAAAGTTGATTGAATTTGACCAACATCAACATCACATCAGAAAGTCTTGCTGCCTTGAGCCATTGGTTGTATAAAGCCCCTTGAACAGATGACTTGGATTTATTTATTTGGAGCACTTCCAACAGGTATGATCCAAGTCTTCTTCAAATGTTGATGTTTATGAAATTCCAATTATTCCATCATGGATGGGGTGGAAGCATACATATGCACTTCAAGCGTACTTTATACTCTGCCAGACCATTTATAACTCTATGCGATAGACCATGCGTTTCTTGGTCCGCAGACTGCCACTCACTGTGACCATGACATCAAAGGCACATCAGTGGGCACTGTGAGTCTTACACAGTGGTCAAGAGGTCATATGTCAGGGGAAACCTAATCCTGTCCCCAAATCCACAAATGTTTCCATTTGTAGTGATTAAAGATTGGGAATATGATTACTTTCATGACTTGTATATAGAATCTTCAAGGCCCTCAATGAACAACATCAATTCATGTTATGATCACCTCAAAGGTGGGAAATCTTGGGTGCTTTAGATCAAATTATATCTCCCCATATCAAGTTTGGTTGGATCAAAATCACACTGGAATTCATTGCACACATTGGGTTTGGTCTCTTGATTGGTCATTGCCTTTTTAGTTGAACTAGTTGTGAGAGGCTGATTCAGGATTCATAATCATTCATGGCTCAGATGAAATGACTGTGAAGAGTGAGATGTCACCTGACATATGTGAACACTCTGTGACATATATCTTGGCCGCGCGTCCCGACTCACTGCCAGGTCTCAAGAGTCAAGTGCCAAAACGTCATCGATTGGGTGTAACTACAATTCAAACCATTCAACAAGACTTTTCAAGACCTTCATCAAAACCTTTTATTGATAAACATCATTCTCAATCAACCTTCAAAGCATTCATTGAACCATGTCAGATCAACCACCAGCTTTAGTTCCAACCGATCCAAGTTCATCAAAACAAAGTAATCCTTCAAGTACTGAAGCTTCTGGTTCTAGTTCACCTGAAAAAGTCGAAGATGTTAAGATGGATACTGAAGCTGAAGTTAGTTTCTCAATCTCTCTTTGTCTCTCTGTAAAGTTTTCTTATAACCAAAATCAAAGATTTAATGAACTTTTTTGCTTTGATCGATTTGAATATATAGCTCGATCCTGAGATTTTGAAATCTTCACCAGAAGAAATCATGACTCGTACTAGATTACTTGATAATGAAATCAAAGTCAGTATATCAAGACGAATGATTTTTCTTTTTATTTCTATCACCAAACCCAAAAAAAACTCAACATCAACATTTTTTGGTTTTGGTTTTAGATTATGCGATCTGAGAATATGACATTACAACATGAAGCAGCCATGATGCGAGACAAGATAAAAGATAATACAGATAAGATCAAGAACAACAAACAATTACCATTCCTAGTATCGAATGTAGTCGAGATCTTAGAGATGGATCCAGACAATCACGAAACAGAAGAAGAAGGAGCCCAGATCGATTTAGATTCGGTTCGGAAAGGCAAATGTGCAGTGATCAAAACATCTACTCGACAAACGATCTTCTTACCCTTGATTGGTTTAGTGGATTCGGAGAAACTGAAACCGGGAGATCTGATTGGTGTCAATAAAGATAGTTATCTAGTGCTCGATACTTTACCGGCTGAATATGATTCGAGAGTCAAGGCTATGGAAGTGGATGAAAGACCTACTGAAACGTATACTGATATTGGTGGATTGGATAAACAAATTGAAGAATTGGTCGAAGCTGTCGTCTTGCCCATGCAACAAGCTGATAAGTTTAAGACTCTGGGTATCAAACCTCCTAAAGGAGTCTTGATGTATGGTCCACCTGGTTCGTGTCTCTCTCTCTTCTTGTCTACTCTACTTGATCAAAAGTTTGGAGTGTGACAGATTGACTGACAAGTGGGAATTTCGATCATAGGAACGGGTAAAACTCTCTTAGCTCGTGCATGTGCTGCTCAAACCAAAGCATGTTATTTAAAACTCGCAGGCCCTTCACTTGTTCAGGTCAGTTATTTTTTTTCATCTACTTCTCAAACTCGATTTTTGATTAACTCTAAAGTGATGATCTTTAGATGTTTATTGGTGATGGAGCGAAATTAGTTAGAGATGCATTTGAATTAGCCAAAGAAAAAGCACCGGCAATTATATTTATTGATGAATTAGATGCGATTGGAACTAAACGATTTGATAGTGAAAAGTCAGGTGATCGAGAAGTTCAAAGGACTATGCTTGAACTTTTGAATCAACTTGATGGGTTTGGAAGTGATGATCGGATTAAGGTACAACACAAACAGACTTATCTTCTGATGGGATTTCTTTTGAATCATTACTGATGGTTTTTTTTTCTTTCGTAGGTTATTGCTGCTACAAATCGAATTGATATTTTGGACCCTGCTCTTCTTAGGTCTGGAAGACTTGATAGGAAAATCGAATTCCCACTTCCTACTGAAGACGCAAGAGCAAGAATCATAGAAGTAACCACCTAAATCTCAACAAAAAATCATTTTAGGAAAACAAAAAACTGATGTTCTGATTTGTTTTTTTTTGGTTTAATTCAGATTCATTCTAGAAAGATGAATGTAGCTAAAGGTGTGAATTTTGAAGAATTAGCCAGATCGACTGATGAATTTAATGCAGCTCAATTAAGAGCAGTAGCCGTGGAAGCAGGAATGATTGCTCTGAGAGAAGGAGCTAATGAGATTCATCATGAACATTTCTTAAGTGGGATCTTAGAGGTTCAGAGTAAGAAGAAGAATGACCGTGAGTTTTGAGTTTTTTCAAAAGTTGAAGTTGAAAGTGAACTGATCATTTTGGTTGTTTTGTTGGGTCTCTTTTTTGGGGGGTTTTTTTGTATGTGTAACTAGAGTTTTATTTTGCTTGAGAAGGTTGGTTGGTGATGGATTGTTTTGGTTGTAAGAAAGAGATTTATGTGATGTTTTTGATGACTTGAATCATAAAAGATTAATTATATTTTGTATTGAACACTGAGTGAGATGATGTTGATACTCCTAAAGTACATACATCAAAATACAATTTGATAAGATTTATGTAGAATTTCAAGAGAGTGATGAAGTGAATTGGAGATCATGTGCAAATTGAAATTGAGATTTTGATGATCCAAAAGTGAGTTTTGATTTAAAGAGATATGAAAAAGTGAGTTATTTTACAAATCGATTGATGATCAAATAAGTTTGATTGTTCTAAATCCAAATCCACAATATCATCATCATCATCATCATCATCATCATCAACAACATTATCAATATCAATATCAATATCAAGATGGAAACCAGATTAGCACCTAATTCTAATCCACCACCTTATGCACTAGCAGTTCAACGGTAAGCTGACTGATTTCTATACCTTACTCTTTAAACTTAATCTCAAGTCTTATCAAGTAAATTTGATCAAACCAATCCTCAAACCAATCTTTACCAAGAATCGATCTGAAGTTTCAAATTCATAAAATTTAATATTTTCTATCTTTAAAACAAGTCTCATCATTCAACTTTTTTTTTCGATTTTTTCGAGAACTTCGATTCATGATTTATTGAAACTTTATCAATATCAATTTCATTTCATCATCTTATTGAAACTTACTCATGTCTTAAACCTGTCTCTTTTTTGATCCTGATTATCTCTTTTAACTTATCATCATTGTTGTTGTTGTTGTTGGCATTATCATGATCCAATCTACCAATTATACTTGGATCCAACTTGGTAATAGTGTTTATAGTAAACCATTAAGACCGATTGTGCTTTTTACTTCTTCAATCTCATTAAGTTTAGTGTTTTTTCTTTCTTTCAAATTCAATTCAAACCCGATCCTCACTGACTTTTCTTTTTCTTTTTTTGGATTCGATTCGATTCGATAGTATGGTCATTGGTTTTGGGGGTTAGGTTTTTTCAAGATCGGTCTGAAGGAATTGATACGCCTAGAATGATGGTCTTTGGTCTTAGTTTAGTTTCCACTTTCTGTTCTCTCTCAACACTTTATATCTCTTGTTTTTTAAAAATTATAATCATATTTGAATTGACTGTTTTTTTTCTGGAAATTTCTTTGTTTTTAGTTTTAGGGATCCTTTTCTTTGTGATTGCTGGTGTTGAATTCTTTGGAATGATTGCAGCCATCACTCAAAAGGTAACACCTCTCAATCCCAAACCCCACCCTGATCCCCCGATCTAATCAATTTTGTTTGTTTGTTTGTGATTCTAAAGATCATCTTAACAAGAATCTATTTTCTTTTATCAGGTCTAGCAGCCTTAGTAACCTTTGTAGCCGAATTGATCCGAGTCATTGCACATTTCTTAGTCAAATCAGATTTAATTAGTTCATGTATGAATCAAGTCACGGGGGCAAAAGCTCAAACTTTGTCAGGTACGATTGCTTCGATTGATTCTAATGAAGCTCAAAAGTTGTGTGAAGATGATTGGCAACGTGGGATTTGGTGGGATGTGGGTTGGTTGGTCTTGACGACTTGTTTGGCTCTTTTGTTTGCTGGTTTGGCTGGGGCTTATTGTTGAGTTGTTTCTGTTTCTTTTCTTTTTCTCGAGTTCTGTTGCAAGGATTTCTAATTTTTTTTTCTTTTTTTTGGGGGTGTTTAGATCATCAATTACTCGATCCATCATTCACACGTACCTCCTCACTAAACCCACCACTCGAAATACATCCATCACATCAAACTCATGAATCTTATCCAATGGGACCTTACTCACATCAAGATTCACCATTTATTCCTCCTAAATATACACCGGCTTTGATGAATGGAGGACCACCGGAATATGTGGTGGAAAAGAAAAGTGGGAATGATTTGGATGGGTCTTTGGAAAGAGTTAGTTTATCGGATGATCGGTTGGGAGTTCAGACAAATGATAGAAGATGAAAGATGGAAATGGAAATGAGGAAAAAAACAGATGGGAGTTGGGATAGATACGAATGGTTTTTTTTTGTGATGTTTTGATTTGTTTGTAACCATTGATATGTTTTTTATACATTTTGGGTTGGGTTGGGTTGGTTTTTCTTTTCTTGAGGATTTTTGGGTCTTTTTCTGTATTGTTTCCTATCTGAGTTTTTTTTCTTGGTTTTTTCTCCCTCCCCTCTCCTTACTCAGTTTCAACTCTTGGTGTAAGATCTTTTTTGGTTGCATATGTGTGATTTGTGAGATGTGATTATGGTTAGTTTGGGGGTTTTTGGAAGTGGTGTTGTTTTGTTGTTGTTGTTTTGTTTGGTATCAAATTTATAGAATGTGGGAAAAAGTGTGGGTTTTTTTTGTATGAATCTAGGAGGTTTATGTTTATTAGAGAAAGAAAACATGATGTAGGATTTCTTGGTTTTTTTATATTTGATGAAATTATATTATAGGAAATATAACATACATTAACAGTATATATTAGGGCGGTTCAAGACAGATTTTGTGAACAGCTCGCCGGATATTGGCAAACCTAAATTTTAGGGGTGTGACACCCTTAAAATTTGCGTTCGCAGAGTGACAGCGTCTGTAAATTTAGGATTTATGACCTTCTCTTTTCAGGTCCAACGTCTGGAAAAGTCAGTTAGCTCCTCTTTCGTTGGATCAAACGGTCTTTTTTTTCAACATGAATGATTTTTTTTTCATATGTTTTGAATCACCTGGCCTCTTCATCTACCCTCCAACTGGTAATCTCGACCCCTGCTTCCAAACTATCATCCAGTTCACATCTTCAACACCAATCCACTTTTTCACCTCCATCATGCCTCGGGTATCTGACCGAGCAGCTGCGATACGAGATCTCACCATGTTATGTATGTTTGCTCATATGAATGCGGCCACCAACGATCCGGGAGATGGACACCACCCACTTGACCCTAGCGATGGCCGAATTGCCTACCCAGAAGATGAATTTATGGCAACGTTATTTGATGACCTGTTTGACGAGGAAGAGATGTGGGGAGACATGCTCACCACGGTCATCTCGAACCGATACCTGGAGCCTCGAATGCGTGTCCGACCAGCTAATCTCTTCGATCTACGGGATATGTTGCATTCTCGAAGAACCGACTTTCGTCAAGCTATGAGAACAACTCCAGAAGGTTTCGGCGCTCTTTTAGGCATGATTCACTTACATCCAATTTTTGTGTCGAACACCAACAATCCGCAACCTCCAGTGGAACAACAGCTTGCCATCACACTCGAGCGCCTCGGCAGTAACGGCAATGGAGCTTCAGTTGGTCGTTTTGCGAGGAACTACAAAGTGGCTCGCGGTTCTGTAGTCAACTGCACTCGGCGCGTAATAACGGCTATCTTACAAGCGGGGTCTCACTACGTCACATGGCCAAACTCAGACAGACGCAAAGCTATATCTAAGGTGCTGGAGCGGGATGGTTTCCCTGGCTGTGTGGGGTTTGTCGACGGAACTACCATTCCCCTCTTTCAGCGACCAGGACGTGATGGTGAAGTCTTTTTTGACAGAAAGCACCGTTATTCAATCAACATACAGATCATCTGTGACTGCAATCGCCGAATTACTTATGCTTATGGTGGATGGCCCGGTTCATGCTGTGACAGCACGGTTTATTCAAAAACAGATGTTGCTAACGCTCAAAACAAATATTTCGATAAAGGTATGTCACGTTTTCCTTTCACCCGTGGCATTCAAAGACTGTACTGACATGTTTACTGACTTGTTTCTGGTCAGGCGAATACATAATCGCCGATTCTGCATACATACCTTCTGACTCTGTGGTTCCCTCATACAAAGGCCAGGCAGGTGACGTTCAGCGCAACAGAGAGTTCAACTGGTGTGTGGCGAAGGCTCGTGTGCGCAATGAACATTGCATTGGTATTCTGAAGTCGAGATGGGCGTCGCTTCAGGGATTACGATTGGCATTAAATGAGAAAGAAGATATGTATCATATCTTACGATGGGTTCGAGTGTGCATCATTCTTCATAATATGCTGGCCCAACTCGGAAACGCATGGGAGGACGAGGACCAAGAACTGATAATTGCTGAACGAGGCGAGGCTGGTCAAGATAGATTTCGTGAATTAGAGTGTAATATCGCTATGGTTGAAAGAGGAAGAGCTCGACGTGAGGCTGTGCGAGACTACGCGGTGGCGTACAACTGGGAAAACGGTGGTCTTCCAATTGTGTAATCTTAATCCGTCCTCTGTTCAGTTTCTCGATGTAGACTCTTCAGTACTCTTTGATTGTAACTTGGCCCTTTTCATCCGATTGATGTCTTTCGATTTTGGCTAGCTCTCTGTTCAATTCAAAGAAAGTTTTTATTAAAGTCTAGCTCTCTGTTCAATTCAAAGAAAGTTTTTATTAAAGTCTAGCTCTCTGTTCAATTCAAAGAAAGTTTTTATTAAAGTTGTCGTGTGATTCGATGTTGTTATTTTGTTCTGGTCTTGTATCTCTTCTGGTCTTGTGTTTCTGCAATCGAATGTGAACTTTCTGTGCTCAAGTGTATTCTTGAATAGCGCATTGTATAGCAGAGTAAAGTCAGGAGTTGACACTTGACTTCATTTCAAAATGATATCAAGTGTGGTTTGTGAGCTTTTAAGCAGTTCAACGTGACTTTCCTTTTTAACATGACTTTTCTGTTGAACGTGACTTTTTTTTTAAACATCACTTTTATGTTTAACGTGAAGCTTTTAAGCAGTTCAACATGACTTTCCTTTTTAACATGACTTTTCTGTTTAACGTGACTTTTTTTTAAACATCACTTTTATGTTTAACGTGACTTTTCTTTTTCAATTTTTGAGAACATTTTGAACTGGATTTCATTTCACAAACTGATTGATAACATATCATTTCTAATTCTAAATCACATAACAAGAAGATAACATTGCTCAAAATTTGATATTCGACAACCAGATACAATCACATAACAAAAAGAGAAAAGTTATCTCTCAAAAATCGAAATAAGAGTACAATCGAAATGAGAGTACAAATACTTCAGGTCGGTCTGGAGACAGACAGAGGTCACAGGCCCGAGTTGAAACAAACAGATGTCATAGTCAGGCTGAGGTGCTCGCGCTATCACATCCAGAACAAGGAGCAAAGATCAGCACCCAATCCAAAACTTTGGCCACTAGAAGAGGAGAGATGGCTTACATAGGCCCCACCTCGGGGTATACCAGGCGAAGATAGGCCTCAAGTTCTTGAGGGGTCTTGCCCTCAAGAACCAGCTTTTCGCAAAAGGCTTTGCGCTCGTTGCGGGTAATGATAGCCATGCGATTGCGTTCCTCTTCGCGTAAGAGAGCCAATCGATTACGTTCTTCCTCACGTTCCAAGTAAAACTTTTCTTTGGCCCAACTGAGATCGGACTGTCGAGCTTCAGCCTCAGCCAGTTGTTTGGCGGCCTCAAACTCTTGGCGCCACTCGTTGGCAGACCGTAACATGTCAATCTTCGCCGCATTGCCAACTTGCATTGCGGTGGCCACAGGGTGTTTATAGTCCTTCCCTCGTACAGTTGAAGGATCAATCGAAGGGAGGGGATCGAGAGCGCGTCGAGCCAGAGTGGGACGTGCTGAACCACGACGTTGAGTTGAAGTGGTCATGGGTGCTGCGTTACCAGGGGTGTTCTCATCTCCTGATGAGGAATCCATCGCACGCTCTTCCGCGGTTAACGTGTCTTTCTTCGAATATTTACGTTTGCTGACCTTCCGCGCAGGTGGTTTTGGGGGAGCCGCCGTTTGAGTTGAATCGTTCTTCGCAGCTCTGTTTGATGACTTGCTTGCCGACTGAGTGCATTTCGGGGTGGGTGGTGGTGAATCAACGTCGTTCTCGATGAAATTTCGATAGTGAGCATTCAGGTCATCTTCCGGGGTCGGGATTGGGTGATCTTTAGCCATTTGGGACTTGAAAAGGTCTTGATACGCTTCCAACTCTTCAGCATCAGGGCTTGAGAAACGATTGGTTGCAATTGGAGGTGGTAGACTATTTTTAGGGCGCGGAGTCATAACTTTGGAGGCATTCACATGGATTAGTTTGAAAAGTCGTCATTTCTTCTTAGATGAGCGAGATACGTACAAACGGGTTTGTTACCACCGGTGTTGTCTAGTACCATCGAGTTATCATGACCATCGGTTGTACTTCCTCCGTCGCTATTGGCGTCAGGCATGTGGTTCACATCGTTGGAGTTGGTGTTTCCAATGATGTCAACTTCATCGTCGTCGTCGTCGTCATTGGCGAAAAGCGCAACTGGGTCGATGCCGGTGTCGAGAATCCCAAAAGCGTTGACATTCCCCTTGTCTCGAAACAAAGCGTCCATCTCGCTAAAGCATGGGCACATGCTCTCCAAAAGCTGGTCCATTGTGCGAATCCCGTCTGCCACGTTTTTGGCAGACAAACCACTACCCGTTTTCTTACTGAAAGCCTTGGTGCTATGATATTTCGACTTATAGCGTTTCAAACGTTGCTGTAATACCCTTCCGTTCAGACGCATGTCGGTAGAGTTGTGTCTTATGTTGTAGTTGTTGTTCAACTTGATCGCAAGTGAGTTCAAAATGGTGGAGGGATTCATTGGCATGCCAGACACTCTGGTCTGGCTCCCGCCGCCGAAGATAGAGTTGCATATGTTGGGTTTACTGAGGTATGCGACAATAGTTTGATAATCGACAATGTCCAAAGGAGGGCTGTCCCGGTTCGGTTTGGCGGGCGCAGTCATGGAGACACTGCTAGCGCGTTTTTGAGCGGCGACTCGAGACCTTTTGATCGCCGCAGGAGTAGCTCGAGAGGTGGAGGATATTCCGGATGCAAGCAGGTCTTCCTCAATTTGAGCGCGAGTGCGACGATTTCTCTAGCAGAACAGAGAATTCGCGAGGTCAGCAACCATTTATTTCAGTAGACATGGTTCAATCAAAACACATACCTTGGAAGGCGCGGTGGGAGTTGGTGACATGATATTCGAAGATCACGGGAAGGTAGGGTGATGAGAAAAAGGAAGAGTGGAAAATGATGATGATGGAAGAAGATTTGAAGATGGAGATAAAGGAATCGAAAAAATGAGATGATGGGCCACGTATCGAAAGGAGATCTGAAACTAACCCAAGCGTTGAAGGACCTATGCCGTCTTTGAAAGCCTAACCCCAGTGATCCAAGAAACAGGGCGAATCCAAACCGAACGTTAGGCGGCGAATGCTGAGCTGGCGTGCTATCGAGAGGGGCGGTGACAGGGTGAAAGGCCAGGATCAAGCCTGATCCGTGAGGTCGGAAATGTGGTACGAGGCAAACCCGGATAACACCCCACCTCGCAAACCCGAAGGATCAAACAAACCCTTTCGAGAGAGGCGTTTATTAAGGTACACACACTGAAAAAAAAGAAACCCAAAAAAAAACGAAAAAAACTGCCACTGTGTTCCTTTTTTTTTTATAATGAAAAGCTCTAAAA